TGGGCTTGTCTGTTTTCATTGTTTTAGGGGATATTAAACCAGCTAAGATGAGAAAACCACCTTAGGTTACTTTAAATTGTTTATTTCTGGAAGAACTTAAGGTATTTAGCTAACATTGACCAGAACATTAAACCAAAACTTTCTTTCCAAAATCCGCCTTCAAAAACATGTCAGCAAACCTGATGTCAAAACGACTGACAGGCAGATATAAATATTACAGGCAGCAGGGGTATAAAATCCATAAAATATGGCATCTAAATTCATTTGTTTTTGTTCTAAAATATCACATCATACCTGCACTTGATAATGTCCCAGCTGACAAAAATATTCCTTATTTATTCCAAGAACGTTTTGCTAACATTCCCATTTAGTTATAAAACCATTATTTCTGAATGTTCTCTGAACATTCAACATTAGAGGTTTTTAAAATGTTTTAAAAACATTTTTCCCCGGGTTATGCAAATGCTAGGGGAACATTCCATTTTATTATTTTGCAAACATTTCATGTTCCTTTCGATTCTTCTCTAAGCAATCTAAAACAAATAGTAACATTTAAAAAAAACACACATGAAAGTCCAACTAAAACATTCCAGGAAAGAACATTCCATGAATGGTCTATAAATAATGCTTTTGTGCTAATATTTTGAGATCAGATAACTTTGAATGAAAATTCTATTAAAGGTACCGGAAGAGCGTTTGTTCATAACTTTGATAGAAACTTGCCAGAGCATTATCCAACGTTTTAATGTTCCGTTACCTGGAGTATTGAAATATTAGGTTAAGATCTCCATTCATTACCTGTCTCTGCAGTGATGTGCAGCTGGCTGTATCCGGGCTGGTAAGAGTCGGAGTTCAGGTACAGGTTGATGGTGAAGGTCTGTCCTCTCCGTACGATCAGCCGATCCGTGCCGTTCAGCTCCGTGTGGTGATCTGTGTTATTGAACTGACACGCCAGATCCCAGGTGCTGATGTCCAGAGCTGAATGAACACAGGATAAAGATCTTTACTGCTCTCCCTGCATGGACATAACTGCACACACAGTTATGAACAACAACCGGGACTTTGGTAATAATTATTCTTAAAGCTTTTTTTTTTTATCTGATTGGTTGAGCAGCGTGTATAAGAGTCAAACAGCTGTTTGTATCATTCCACCTGTGTGGTGAGGATTTTAGAGTGATTCTTTCTGCAGGTTACATCGTTACGCCAGTAGGTGGCGACAAGTGACTGTCTTTATGAGTCATTGAATCATTCATTCAACTGATTCATTCATAAACACTGATTCATTCAGGAACGAAACAACAACAACGAGTACATTTTATGTCATTTTGTTAGTAGCCTAAAGTTCAGGTTTTGTAACTGTATAGTGACACGTCGCCATCCAATCAATGACTAATTAATTAAAGTAAGTCTCATCCTACACATATAAAGCCATGCAATTATGCACGCCATTTCAAGGTTCTAAAATTTAGACCAAACAGTGAGAGAGCATTAGTGGGAGCATCTGCTAAAGAGATACAATGTAAAGAATGCATTGCACATGTGAAGCATGTGGTTTGTGGTTAACAGATGCCATCTTCAAGGACACTTCATTGAGACATGCATGTCATTGATTGACCGCTGACACTCAGTAATTCAGTTCCCTTTCATGGGAACTTCGAACTGCGTCCTCTAGGGGTCGCTATGGGGGAACGCCTCGTCGTGACCCGTGTCTGAAGCATACATTGAAAAACACCAACTCGTTGGCCGGCGACAGCCATGACGTCACTACCGGTGCGACTATAGTATAAATAGGCGCCGGGAGCACAAATCATTCTCTTCTTCGTCTTCATTGACTGTTTTGTTTGAAGCGTGCATTTCTGTGGTAAGAGCGATCTCTATTTATCTCATTATGGCGAGCACTAGCAAAGCATTTAAGGCACGGGTCACGACGAGGCGTTCCCCCATAGCGACCCCTACAGGACGCAGTGTCTCGTTCCCTACTGAGGGAACCATGGTTACATATGTAACCTGAGACGTTCTGTTCAATGTATAGCATTTGTCTTGTTTCATTCTTTTCATATGCGTTTTACATTTTATTTAATTATTAATAAAATAAACATTTTCAATATAATTATAAATAAATGATAAAATAGCTATTAAAATAAAATAAATAATACAATACAATTAAATAATATTTTATTATTATGTGGGACTCTTTGGCTGAAATCTGAGAATCATTGTCTGTCCTTCTCTAGATCTATTGATAAAAACACACTTTTACACTTTAGGTCTCAAAAATAAACAAAAAGATTTGTGGTTTCAGGCTGTCATTAAACAGAGTTTCATTTGTGTCCTCAAGTGCTTTGGGGGCAAAATGTCTGCAATGACATCATTATAATACATTATATACAATATTGTGATGGTCTTTATCACACATCTGTGTTATGTGATATTAATGGGAAATTTTGGGAGTTTTTGTCTGTCTGGAACAATAGAAAGGTACAGAGATGGATGGACTTTCAAATCATAGAGACTCACTCATGGGAATGCAGATTGAGTTTCTCTCTTTAGTGGGTTGTAAACTAACCACCCTGCGGCCAGAAAATTAGTTTCAGACCAGACAGAAAGTGTGTGTGTGTGTGTGTGTGTGTGTGTGTGCCTATGTTTAATGGGGGATGTGCGCAGTGGGGTGTTCTCTGTTTTCTATCAGTAAAGCCACTGTCGTAATCTTTAGCAGAGCTTTAATCCTGGTCTAAAGAGATGTGTGTGTCTCAGCGCTGGCGTACACACCTCTGTTTAGCTTTCAGACTGACTGATGCTGTGGACGGTTAAACCAGGATAAACCAGCACAGGTATTCTGCAGTCGTACAGTGTCACAAACAATCTGCTCACACATTTCCATGAAGGAAGCGATTACATGAATGAAACAATAACAAACAAGTGAAAGCAGCTTTTATAACCAGTGGAGAGAAATAATGAGTCTTTGAATCTCTTCCCTCATGAAATTCTTGCTGTAATTTTCCATTTATGGTTCGGTCACTATTTTCGAGCATACTATTTTAATCATTATGACTCTTAGTAAATATTGTTAGTGGAGCACATTGTAAACAGCTGTCTGTACTTCTAAAGACATAATGTTTGCATGCCATACAGAACCTCGTTCACTAAGACTCTTCAAAGAACCTTCACATGCAGCCGTGGAAAGTACAGTACATAGTGAGTTTATAACTCATTACATAAACCTGACACACTCGTTGCATGCCATATAATAACACCAAACTGTATAACTGACCACAGTGTACCATTCGCACAGACCAGAGATGCTTAAACCAATGTAACACAGTGTTCCAGCTTCATTAGGGGTGGAGATGAAGAACTACAGTAAATAAATGTAACCTTTATGCCTAATATTGCATACAGTAGTTAATGTAAACAAGTAAGCAACAGCATGTGCATCTCATCCTAGAAAATGTAATTGATGCATGGACAAAATCAACATGCACACAATAAATGAATAAAAGAATGAGCTTAAAGTTTAATATAATAAATGCATTTAAATCGATCAATAAGTGAAAACATGCAAGCATCAGGTAACGTAAAATGTGCTGCATGTGGTAACATCAAATAAACTGGGTTTGTTCAAATATATTATTTAATATATGCATTACGTTAGGTTACACATTTAGGTTTTTTTAAATGTCAGAACAAGTAGATAATAAATCTATAAAGTAACTACTACACAATTTAACCTTTTATAGCGTGATGTAAAACAGATAAATATTAAAACAAACATAACTGTCTCATTTATAGCATCTTAAAGTTGAAAACATTGATAACCCCATTGTGAAAGGCACTTACCCATTTTAATGCTGTGCTGTAATGTTGCGCTGTTCCAGCTGTGTGTGTTCAGTCAGTCAAAGTCAGTGTGTGTGCGCGTCTTTATTGTCCGGAGCGGCGCGTCAGAGCGTTACGCCCACGCGTCAGAGCCTACAGTGACATACATGCTCACTCGTTCTCTGCACTTGCGTTACAATATAATATTGTCTTATTACACTGAATATTGACCTCACTATTTTATCGTTTTTAAATAATATTATTTTTTATCTTTAATCACAAAATCACAATGAAGTGAACTTTAAAGGGGTCATATGATGCGATTTCAATTTTTCCTTTCTCTTTGGAGTGTTACAAGCTCTTGGTGCATAAAGAAGATCTGTAAAGTTGCAAAGACTAAAGTCTCAAATCCAAAGAGATATTCTTTATAAAAGTTAAGAGTCAGCCACACCTACCTACAACGGCTTGTTCTAACACACCCCCACATGTCTAGGTCACGATGTGGGAAGATTTGCATAACGTGGTAACATCAAATGTTATCAAACACCAAATGTTCACGCAAAGAAAGAAGGCGTAACTTTTATTCTTGCTGTAGTATTGTTGTTGCCGCCGCCATGTCGTGAATATGTGGAAAATAATGTGTTTTTTAAACCTTAAACCGCATAAACACATTTCATTACACCAAATACACAAAATAATGTTCTTTTTAGCAGCATCATATGACCCCTTTAAATGTTTTTTTCTAGTTTGAGTGGATGTGTGTTTTGTCATTTCTCTGGGTGCTGCTACAATGAAAAACTTCTACAACGTCTACAAAGAAAGTTTTTTGTAAAAACTCTTTAACAAAAGCAAGTCCTGTAATAACAACATTCTGCAGGAAGTGACATCATTTTGTTGAATCAAAAAACAGCACAAACATCAGTTAATATTAAGAATTGTGAAATAATTCTAAATAAATCCATTCATTCATTCCTTCATTCATAAACAACTATTTCTCTTTCATTCCAAGTTTACAGAATAAGTTTGCTTCCTTTTTTATAAACCAATACATTTTGAATCATTCCACTGACAATCAAATTATTTTATGTACACCAGGGACTTTATGACAATTCTTCAGTTGTTTATTGTATCAAAGCAATTTTATTAAAAGATTACACATCTGTTTGTGTTTTATGACCTGTGCAATAAGGCTAATTAGAAACAGAAATACAAGTAAAAAACAAAGAAACAAAAGATTTTGTAGTTTTAGCATTTAAAAGGTAGTTCCATGAACTAATGTTACTCACTCACACTGACATAAATAAATAAAATAAACTTTATTTTAGAGTTTCACAGGACTGATAGTGTTCCATAGGTATAATGCATGATAACATAAAAAGCATGACGCTATTACAGTATGATGAGCTATACTTCCGTTGACTTTCCTATGATGCTTGTCTCTTGAACCTGTAAAGAACGAAGAGTGAACGAAAATATTAATATGTAGAATATTCCAAATCTCAACCCAACTGAAAAATAGCTAATAGCTTGAATGTGTCCAAAATGGTAATGTACAATGTTGACATTTCACAAATAATAACAAAACAGATGAATTTGTAGGCCGTACTTTACAACATGGCTGGTCCCTGGTTTGGCTCGGTAAGTTAGCGGGTTTAAAGTTGCATTCCTGTTTTTGGGCACATGGCTTTTTCACCTCAGATGGGGCGTGGTCACAGTCTCCACCAATCACAGACGAGCAGCTGTGACCAGAACTGCTGAAGCAACTAACACTTTCTCCTGAGGACACCGAACTCTCCACTGAAACACAACACGAAATGGAAAACAAGTTTATTTTTCTGAATCCACTGGCAGATGTTTATTAATGTTTTGAATAAACTCACTTAACTTTGATACGTTTTTCAGAAAACAAGACTTTGTCATTTTGCTTCTGTATCTGATTCAAGAATGTTTAGATATTTGTACTGGATAACAAGACAAAAATACTGAGGAAGAAAAACTTTTTATTTATTTATTTATTTATTGCAGTGCATTTGGAGAGGTTGAATGATAAGATGGTTTAGTGATGTCAAAAGCAAATGCTCAGAACTAATTATTAGATTTAGAAGAAAGTTTTTTGGAATAACATTAACTGATTAAACATTCAAAATAAGACCAGGAATATGTGTTGGCAAATAATGTACATTTTAAATTGCACTTCTATTCAAATTAGACATTGCATATGATATTTTGTGTCAAAATAGACATTGTGAAGAAGGACATACCCAGTGCACTCTGGTTTCCACTCTCCTGGTCTAAATCATCTTCCTCCAGGATCCCATGGATGTACCGCAAAACATCTCCTCCGCTAGGGCCGATCAGATGACCCACAGGAGACGTGGATCCCCACCCAGAGCCAGAGGACGAATGGCTTCCAGAGGATGATGTACAGCTGGCCGAGCCGACAGAATTCAACCGGAAGACAGGAATCCCACCTACAGTATCATACAGAGTTTAATAAGATCGACTTCTCAGGATAGCCAACGTTTAATCATGACAGGTGTTTCACCTCGTCCTGTCGGAGCGCAGTTGACGGCTCGGTCATTGATGGCCATCTCACTGGGCTGGATGTCCATAAAAGGTTTATGTCCGATTCCCATGAACACCCTCTCCTGCATACGGATCTCTGTGTGAAGATCAGCAGACAAACAATCGGGGGTATATTATATGGCCCTTCCCATATATGTATTAATACATTGGTTAAAACGTAAAACTCACAATTTTTTTGGCCCTGGACCACAAAACCAGTCATAAGGGTACATTTTTCGAAATTGAGATTTATACATTTATACATCATCTGAAAGCTGAATAAATAAGCTTTCCATTGATGTATGGTTTGTTAGGATAGGACAATATTTGTCGGAGTTTTACAATTATTTGGAAATCTGGAATCTGAGGGTGCAAAAAAATCTAAATATTGAGAAAATCGCCTTTAAAGTTGTCCAAATTAAGTTCTTAGCAATGCATATTACTAATCAAAAATTAAGTTTTAATATATTTACAGTAGGAAATTTACAAAATATCTTCATGGGACATAATCTTTACTTAATATCCTAATGATTTTTGGCATAAAAGAAAAATCTATAATTTTGACTCATACAATGTATTGTTGGCTATTGCAACAAATATACCCCAGCGACTTAAGACTGCTTTTGTGCTCCAGGGTCACATATATCATGTTAGTTTATCATGATAACAAACTAGCAGCTTGACACAACAAACCCCTTAAGGTAAAAAAAAAAAAAAACTTAGTTAATACTTTTATCAGCAAGGTTGTTCAAAAATTGATCAAAAGTGACAGCAAATTTATAAATTTTATTAAAGATTTGTATTTCAAATAAATGCGGTTCTTTTTAAATTTCCTATTCATTAAAGAATATTGAAATGCTTTCAACATATAACATGTTTCTTGAGCAGGACATCAGCATATTAGAATGATTTCTGAAGATCATGTGACACTGAAGAAAGGAGTAATGATGCTGAAAATACAGCTTTTATCACAGAAATAAATTACAGTTTACAATATATTCACATAGAAAATAGTTGTTTTAAATTGTAATAATATTTCACAATATTTTTTATTTTTACTGTATTTTTATTTTTATCAAATCCAGCCTTGGTGAGCAAAAGAGACTTTTTTCAAGAAGAAAAAATATATATATATTTCAAGAAGTGACAGCACAAACATCAGGAAGTATTATCAATAAATGTGATTAATTCTGTATGTTTTGTGATTCTCTAATGACGATGACTTAAGCACAGCACACCGCACTATTTTATTCCTCACCTGGTTAAGATCATTGCACGTGTTTTCTAAATAAAATGTGGGTCTGAAATACAGTGGAACTGCTGAAATGTTAGTTCATAAGGTGTTGTATAATAGCAAACACTCATAGGAAGTTTCAATTGTTCTTTAATGTGCACATCTACAACAGTGCGACCAATTCTAAGGAAAAGCACAGCTGTTAAACATCATGGCACACATCAAATGGGAGGACTGTTATCGGGAAATGCGTGTGGAGGCCGTGAGGGGTGAGAGTGAGGAATAAATGCATGCAGCTGCGGATGGGAGGTGAGCTTCTGTCATTCATCATTTCCCCTTTCACTCCTTTCCACATTCCTCAACATACAAGATCACATTTCAGCAGTTCTTTAGTCTTGATAAACTCGAGCACATTCACATTTCTGGCTCTCAATGAGGTGCTGAGGTTTCAAGGTTTTAATTTCATAAGCAAACATTAGGTAAAAGAACTCAAGATAACGAGTCGATTGCTGCAATAATTGCATTAAATCAAGGCTTTACAGTAAAACTTCAATCCTTTTTTACGATTTAAATCTCAGTTAGGGATTAATTTTTTAACATGCGCCTGAAGAGGACTGAATTTCCAAAAAGCCAGAGAATAAGAGATCAAATCTAATCACAGGTTAAACTAATTTGTTTTCAAATTGTGTGTTTTCAACATATTTTGAAGAATGTTGGTAACCAAACAGTTGTTGGTCCCAACTGTCTCCCACAGTATGGAAAAATACAATGGAAGTCAATGGGGACCAGAAACTGTTTGGTTACCAACATTCTTCAGAATATCTTCTTTTGTGTTCAACAGAAGACAGAAATTTGGTAACACTGCATTAACACTGTAACACTAATTACTGCATATTGATAGTTAGGAAGATAGTTCTTAGTTATCTTTAGCTATTGGTAGGATTAAGGCATGACGATTATGCTCATGCAAAATAAGGCATTAATATGTGCTTTATAAATACTAATAAACAGCCAATATGCATGCTAATCAGCAACTAGTTAATAGTGAATAGAGTTCAAAAGTGTTACCAGAAATTCATACAGGTTTGGAACTACTTGAGGGTGAGTAAATTATATCAGAAAGTTTATTTTGGGGTGAACTATCCCTTTAAGCAATGCAACAACCTGAATAAAAATAAAACCTAGAGCAAGAAAGTGTGGATTAGCTCTAAAAGCTCCTTCATTTAATTCACACTGGTGCAACTCACCATAATCATAATTCGTGTTAATCAAGACAAAAGCTAATTGAATATCACAGTCTACTCACCTCTGTTGAGGATGGCTTGTTCCCACAGGATCCTCTCCAGGTCTCTGGTCCAGTTCTCCTTCACTTCTCGACTCGGCGCCTGAAGGATGTACGTGTCCTGAGACTTCCTCCTTCGAAACCAGATCTCAAAACACAGCCCGCTGTCACCAGAATTATGGGTCATACCGATGTCTGAAGTCTACGAGAGAAAGCGAAAGTGAAAGGGAAAGCCTTCTATATTTGGACCTGTTCACTGATGCCTCATGCAGGGGTTTACCTTGAAGGATTGTTTGTAGATGTACGTGTCATTCCCAACGTCGGTTCTGCGTGTCTTGCTGAAGAGTATGAGATCCTGGAAGAGAAAGATGTGACGGTAGCATTTCTTCTTCCTGAAGGTCAACAGGAACTCGTCCTGACGGATCAGCTGGCCCTGTTCCTTCAGATTCACCTGCACACACACGCCAACAAAACAACACATAATCAATCACACAAATGAGTAGTGAGCTGAATTTGACCACCAAATCAGGCCTACATTAATGCATTCGGCAGATGCTTTTATACTAAACTGCTTTTGCATTCAGATTCTTTTTTCAGTGTCTTTTAATAACAATCAAAACGTCATCAAGTTTGTATCGAGAGGCTTGCATTCACCTTATATCTACACTACCAAAAAGTAGTCAAAAGTTTGGCATAATTAGGATTGTTTTGAAAGAAGTCTCTTCTGCTCACCAAAGCTGCACTTATTTGATTAAAAATAAAAACAGTAATATTGTGAAATATTATTACAATTTAAAATGTCTGTTTTCTACGCGAGTTATCTGTTAAAATGTAATTTATTTCATTTAGCATCTTTACTCCAGTCTACAGTGTCACATGATCCTTCAGAAATCATTCTGATATGCTGATTTGCTTGGGGTATAAAAATAATACTTTTATTAATCAAGGATGCATTAAATTGATCAAAATAAAGACTTTTATAATGCTACAAAAAAAAATCTATTTCAAGTAAATGCTGTTCTTTTGAACTTTCTGTTCATCAAAGAGTCCTGAAAAATGAAATGTATCACAGTTTCCACAAAAATATTCATGTTCATATATAACATTTTTAATACGACTGGATTTGTACTTAACTTGATAATAATTTAATAAAATCGTAAGTTACTAATTATAATGCTTTCACTTTCAAACAGCGAAAACATTTATACAGAGAAAGTGATCAAAGAACAGTATGACTGACTTCATCAGTAATGTAAAAACATTACTGCTATTACTATATTTTTTGACCAAATAAATGCAGCCTTGGTGAGCAGAAGAAACGTCTTACAAAAACTATTCCAAACTTTTGACTGGTAGAGTATAAAACTATCTTGATGTGTACAGTACTTCAAAATATCCATCATCATGTTGGGTTTTCAGATGAAGGAGACTGATGTGCAGACAGACAGTGGGATGAGAGGGAAGTGAAGCGTAGGGAGCTGCTGGGAAATGTTAAGACACAAATCATTTTCAATGAGAAGAGCAGACGGAACTGAAAAAAGACCAACTCTGTGAATGTGTCATAGATAAGATGAAGCTCACTGCTAAACCTTTAAGGTTTCAGACTTTCATGTTACATAAGAGTACAGCAACTCCGCTTTCTAAGCACACACTGAACTGATGTGCAGGTGGAGGGAGTGTACTAGTTAGTGCACTTTTCTTTTTAAAGCATGCAGTCCAAAAATAAATGCATGAAATATGAAGGTATTTATCTTTCTAATTACAGACAGTGTGTGATATGGGCAAAACTCGCCTTCACCTTACGCCTAACCATCCTGTTCTAAAAAAATATCTCTATTTCAGTCAGCATTTAGTTAGCAAATATCTTTTGCCACATAATGCAAAACAACACATATAATAGATTTAAGAGTCAGTAAACACTACAAGCATAAGTAAACACTACTGTACATTCTCTGAATAAATTATGGTGATGTTTGCCTGTGCAAGATGATGGGTGCTGATATGGTTTTTCTAAGGTGTTTTAGTGGACTTTAGTGTTGCTATGCAGTTGCTAGGGTGTTTTACAGGCCAGAAGGATCAATCCATTAATCTATGCGATATTCTGTTCTCTAAATATTTCTTGGGTCGCTCCTTCAATCCAAGTTCAATGTATTTTACCAGGTAAGAATCATGAGTCTGTTCAGTAGCAGCACCTCTTCTCAACTTTTTAGACACTGAATCTAAAAAGTGTTCAGTGTAATCTCAAAATACTAACACTCAGAATGTACAATATAGTGACGCTTGCCACGACATGCATTTTTAAATTAGAGGGTTGAAGAAGAAATTTTCCTATTCTGTAAACTAGAATGGATTTGGGCTTTTCTAATGAGATTTTGCCTTTTTTTTTTTGTAGACAACTATTTTTTTTATAAATTGTCCAGACAACAAGAAAATGTAAGTTTATTGGCCTCAACTAAGTTAAAACTTGAATGAACCAGTATAACTGTTGTTTCAACTCAAAAAATGCATGTTGAATCAACTGCATCACAGCAAAAAAAATTAAGATACATTTTTTTTTAAGGCAGCGGGGTAACAAAGTTGTTATTGTTTTTTACAGTGTAGTATTTATTAATATTGTAATTAATATGTTTTAAAAACATTTTGAGATTTCATCTTATTTTTAATGTAAGTTTTAGTAATCGTATCCTTTTTATTATTATTTTTTAAAACATTTATATTTAACTTTATTTTATATGAATTACTTAATTCATATTTTTAAATTAGTTTAATATTTTAAAA